AACTAATTATTTTTATACAGGAATTGACTTAAAGGCTTAATTTGTGATGGAAACAAAAAAGGAAAATAAATTAATTTTGTTTAAAACAAATAAATTCTATTTAATTTTCAATCCAATGCTTTTCTTAATAATTTACATAAAGGCTGATTTGGTCTGAGCAATTCAAATTCAGATTCTGATGATAGGAGTTTCTGTCCTAATGTGTCACATTGTGAGCTTCTGAATGGTTTAGACCATTTAATAGTATGTGCAGTTGAGCTGATTAACTTGCTAATCCATTGATTCATATTTCACTGCCTGTCATGTTTACATCATTAGAGCTGCCTCTTGCTTACAAAGGTATGCATCTCCACACCTTTGTTGAAACAGACAAAGGAGCAATGACTAAGCCTTAGGTCATGAATGAAGGATAACTGAAAGTGGAAGATTAAATGATCTATCAACTTCGTAGTCGAATTGTACAAAGCAAAGAAGATCAGCTGATGATTTTAAAAGTTGAGCTTTGTTCCTGATTGTTGTTTTTTAAGGAAATTTAAATGAACATGTCTGTTTTTTTATTTTTTTTATTAACAGGTATAAGAGTCAAGGGAGTTAAGTTTTATCAACTTACCAATGCTGAAGGGGTTGTTGACATATAAAACTAAAGGCACTGTCCTTGTTATTAGCTGGTGTGGTTCAGGTTCAATAATGCCTTAGAAGAAATGAAAGAAAAATGACAAAAAGGATCCCTATAGCTGAGGTGCATGTCAGCAGCTCAGCAGGTTGGCTTTATATATATATATATATATATATATATATATATATATATATATATATATATATATATATATATATATATATATATATATATATATATATATATATATATATATATAAATATATAAAATCTTCAGAAATGTAAATGAACAACTTTATTGTCTACAAAAGCAAAATGATCAACTCTATTTAAAATAAAAGCTAAATGATAAAAAAAAAGCTAACATTTGTTTAAATAATCATGTTATAAACCTATTTTTGCCATTGTAGATTTGGCACCTCCTAAAACTGAGCACCAGCAATGATCCCCCTAAGGTGAGAGAACCACATTAAAGGAAGGAAACCAAACACTCACAGATAATGACTAAAACTTTTAACTGCGTTTTATAATAAAGAATGATGTACTCTGAAACATAAATGTGAATAAATAAAATTGTTCTTAAAGGAAGATGTTGGCCCCTTGAAAAATTAATACTGGACCCTCTGACATGTATTTTCCTTTCAGACAGACACCAGAGGGCAAGTGTATCCTATACTAAACAGGATGGGTAAGGCCTCAACCTTGGTGTCAAGCATTGTCGCAGCGCATAACTGATGTAGGGAAGGGGAAAAAAAGCTACCTTGAGAGTAAAGGAGAAAACTTTCACATACTTTTTCATAAAAGCAACGTTTATAGCAGTTGTTTCAATATCTCAGAAAGCACAAGCAGTCAGGAAGGAGAGAGAGAAGAGCTTAAAAACAGTGATTTGAGTCTCTTTGTGCTTGTGTCAGCCAATCCTCTAGGGGGAGCCATCTTTGGGGAGTTAAAAAAATATATAAACAGCACAGTTAAAAAAAAATACAAAACAAAACAAAGAAAGAGGAAATAAGGGTGCTACTGGTTCCTGGTTCTTGATGCAAACATTCAGGGAAGGAAACTCTGGTATCAGGCAACTAACTAAAAACAGGAAAAAAACTCAATCGGACCACATTTAGAAACAAAGAATTCTTAGACGGAAAGTTTTTCGGGTTTCATTATTCAATGAATCGTCTTCCACTTCATATTTTCACTATTCTAGCACATGACACTATCATAGATCATTACAGGCGTTTACTCTCATCCAGGAGTGTAGCGCAGAAAAACCTTTGAATATATTACTCTGTGTCTCCTCCATGATAAATAGCTCTTGATCACGACCACAAAATCTTTACTGGGGAGGTAGGATAGCACCTTACTGTACAGTGACAACAATAGGTGGAAATGATTTTGGTTTGTATGAAGATCTCATAAAGTGAAGGGCTCAGATTTGAGGTTGTGCTTTACTTAGAAGGTATTTATGAAAAACTATTTGTCCCTTGAGAGATTTCTTCTGAATCTGCTATTATCACACTTTAATGTTTCAGATCACCAGTCATTTTAATATTAGGCGACATTATTTAAGCCACTCATCTCATTTCGATTTAGAGACAGATTTTAACTAACTTGTTCCCGAAGCCAAACAGCCCAGGACCAGACCATCATATTACTACCGCTATGTTTGACTTTTGCTTTTTGATGATGCTCTTTTTCCTGAAATGCTATTCGACTTTTTTATCCACTACTCCGATAAGTTTTTCTTTTGTTTGCATCACTCCAGGGCATGTTTTTTCTGAGATCCAAGGGAAAATTTATATGATCGACAGGCCTTTGGTTTTTTTTTTGGTTAGCAGTAAGTTTTTGCCACTGAACTTTGCTAACTGAAGCAAGCAATGAAGAACTTGTTCTTTATTCTGTAAGGATCTTGTTTCATTAAGGCTGGAACACACTGGTTACATCCAAATCTGCAAGCTCTGATATGATCTATAAGTTTTTTCTTGTCACACTGGCTGCAGTGGGTATAGAGGTGCTCTTACTATGCATAAGATAAGCAGATCCTGATCTGGGCCACATTTTTCACCTCTGCCTTGGTGTCCCACAAATCGAACCAATTTTCTACATTTGACTGGTTCGGGTTATGAAAAGAAAAATAAATATTAAACAGGGTTTTTAAATGTAAAGGGAGCAGAGATGCAGTGACTGTCACAGAGCTGTGTCACTTGTCAATCAAGCTACAAAGCAGCGCCCCACATTTTAAAACAAAATAGGTAAAGGATTTTATGCAAATATAACCTTAACTACTTTAAAAGAAAAGAACACTCAAAACTGTTTATAAATGGGTGAGGTAGGTGAATGCAAATTCTCAGAGAGCTCATTGTGAAGTTTGCAGAATGTTTTCTATGAATTTCATATAGATTGGGACATGATAAGCTGCGTGTGTTCCGCATTTTCTCTTGTTGTTCTGCATTTGTTTTTTGAACAAAAAATAGGATTCCTATTTAATTGTATCTGTTTTCTGTAATTCTTAGTTACTACCATGGATAGAGAAAGTTTATTAAAATGTTTTACTGATTATGTAGGCCTATGTCTGAGTCCTTCCTGCTTGCTATATACGCTCAGTGTCTCAGAGAGTGGCTCACCTGCCTGTTTTACCTTTTCAGATATTTTACTTTCCATTTTCCTAATAACAGATGACATCATCGCTAAATTGCTGTGTAGGTCCAACCAAAAAAAGAGCAGTGGTCTATCCTTCATTGGAGCACATTTGCATAGAATCATGTTTGGTCTGACAAGCACAATGCATTTTTAATAAACTGTGCCATGACCTCATACAATCAGATTTTTCCGTCAGATCAGACTCTAAATTGTATCCAATCTTTTCAGGGCTTTAGATACCAATGCGCTTGGGAGTAATTCTAGTTGGTCATCCACTCCGAGGAAGGTTTTTTTTTTGTTTTGTTTTGTTTTTTTCTGTACATAATGATTGGAAGATGCTTTCTTTGTGTTGTCAGACTGGTTCTACATCAGTGATTTCTTGATTCTACAACATCAGACATTAATCCGGCCTGTAATTGGCTAATTAACAAAAAAATTAGATAAACCACAGATAAATTCATAATATAAAGATTGGAACAATTATATTTGTTTTGACTGCTAGTTCCATTTGTAAATTTTTTTTTATTATTGATAAACTTCATCTTAAATCTTGTTGGGTTTCTTTGTTTTAAATAAATGTTTTTGTGATCTAAGACATTTAAGTGTGACAGTAAAGCAGAAAAACAGAAGTAATCTGTAAGGGGGCAAATACTACAAATGACACATTATATTGTTTGTTGGTATTTGCACTACTTAAAAGCAACCATGGATCTGTTGGCATGAATGAAATATGATAGCCTGAAACTGGACATTCAGACTCGTCACATTTCTTATCTGGTTATCTGAAATATTGCAACTAAAAATCTCCCTACATGCTGCTTTTTTTTTTTATTGATGAAAACAAAACCAGACTGAGTTCAATAACCATTTTAGACATAAGTCTAACACGATCTTTGCAGTACATATGTTTTGATTCTAACCTTTATTCATGTCCAGTGTATGAGCTGCTATTGTGTTGAAAAGCTTGCCATTCAAACAATTTCCTAACAAGTGAGTGGTTACCATCTTTAGCATCAATCTCCCAGTTCTCTTAACATATCCAGGATATAAGGTTGCAGTGTTTATTTTCAGGTAACATTACTGATGTCAAGCCCTGAATGTTCACTATACCCCACCAGTAAACAGTGATTATAAGGGAGCTAACTGGGCAGCGAATTCACTGATTCATTCTCTGAATAAAACATCAAGGAAACTAAAAAATGCAAACTCAGAATTCAGTGCCAATAAATACTTTGTAAAGTCAAGCAAGCAAAGCTTTGCATGTTGAGAAACACTGCATATTGCCTTAGACAAACAATCACCATGGTGAAATATGGTAGTGGCAGCAGTATGCTGTGGGGATGCTTCCACTAAACACAACAGTCAACATTTTCTTTCTACTTCACAGTTATGTTCTAATATTGAAGTCTGTGGTTGTAACATAATGGGATCCTAAGCGCATGAGTATCTCTGCCACATGTACATCCTTGTGCTCTGGGATGTGCTGATTAAAGTTACAGCAACTGATGGGGAATAGTGAACCTTTGTCGTACAAAGATGCTACACATTCAACGTGTTTCCAGGTAGGATGTACTGAAGCAACAGAAAAAAAAATGTCATGGGGGATTTTGGTCATTCAGATTCATGAGGAATTGGATTGTCTTCACTCCACTGCAGCATGGCATAGAAAATTGATTGATGTCAAGTCATAAAATCGCCGTCTAAGAAGGGAGTTTGCACTGATTAGTTAAAATATATATATATATATATATATATATATATATATAGCAGTCTCTCAGTAAAACAACTAGCTTTACTTCTTGAGTTTTATGAAAAAAAAAAGATAAAGACTAAACGTAATGTAGGAGGGTCTGAATTTCAAAAATGTTACATTAAATAAAATTATTTCTATCTTTGTACAATATTGTCCAACCAGGCAGTATTGTTTTTTAGCCAGAATGTGTGTTTGTAGGTGTGGAATCAAATAAAAAGCTGACTTGTCTGACGTCAAAAGATCTGTAAAACTTGTTTCAGTCCTTCCTCATACGGGCAGGTTTTTACTGAGCGGTGCTGGTGCTATCCATCTGATCCTCCTTTGTCTTCCTGCTCTTCAGCCCTCTCTTCTCTCTGGAAGGGTCAGTGGCGATCGTAGGCAGAGGCTGTTGCAGTGGCAGCAGGGCCTGCCCCCCGTGACGTTGCACTATAATAATATGGTGACCCTGCATGGAAACATGGACAAAATAGATTTCTATGAGATGTCTGGAAGATAAATTCTCCAAACTGGAGAGGTTGATATGATTCACATGTAATTTCTGAAACTCTCTAATGTAAAGTATGTTTTCTTGCAAACCCAATGAACCAATTTACTCATTGTAAGGGTGAATTTATCAGCAATGATTGCTGCTAATTTTGCCCCTCCACCTTTTTTGTTTGATTTTGTAAATATGGTCCATTTGCATCCATGTGTCTTTTTTCCAAGCGAGATGTGTCAAACAAATTTTTATATCGGGCCACTTTGTCATCATCAAGTTTTTAACAGGGTGGGCTGCGCCTGTATGAATTTTTCGTTTAGAATCTGTATTATAACTTTACTCAGGTTCATTCCGCAGTTTAAGCAACTTTTTTAACCTAAAAGGATCACATTACTCTACTTTATGACGTGATTTACCATTTTTGGCTCTTGAGGGTCGAACAAATTGCTGTGAGGTGCCGCATTTGGCCCTTGGACCATGAGTTTGACATGTGTTTTAAAGGAATGTTTACGCCAGCTATGCTTTTTTTTTGTACCTGCAAATGGGAGGTTCTATGCCCCCTTTATTAACTAGTAATCTTAATTCAAGCTTATCATTTTCTTCCTTGTCTGCTGTGAAGAATGTGGTTGTTTACCATTAGCTATAGCTGTAGATCATTCATAATCATTTTAGTTTGATTAGAAGTTGTATTCAGCAACTTTACATGGAATTTGAATTTGGATGAGAAAAACAATCAATCTTGCTATTTTATTAGAATATACGTAAAACTAAAGAAAATCGTATTAATTTCCATAATACATCAAAATAGCTTTAAAATACCAATAGATATAAATGTATTCAAAAAGATATATACCTGAATAAAATCCTGTAAAGTGCAAAGTCCTGAGTCCACTCTTGGGCTTTTTTTTTTGCCTTCAATGGATCCCAGTTTTTATTTATTTTTTATAGAATTTAGCCCTGGACTCTCAGAAGTAAAATTTTTTTCTGATTAAAAATTTCTGTGTAAGTTTTCCCCCATTTTTTTTCTTTAATCTTTGTCATGCTGAAAGATACCGTTTTAAGTATACACATACACTCCACTATATTTTCACTTCATATATACTTGTTTTATTTTACTGTGCAGTTTACATCTATTTCAAAAAATTTAAAAATCTGTCTCATTGGTAATGTTTATTAGTCTTTGTACCCATCTTCTAAATACCATAAATAAAAGCGGCTGCAAACAAAGTGAGGAGTACCGCATGTAATTATATGTTTCTGAAGTAGGTGCACATGTTGGGTCTTTTTCTATGTTAATATGACCATGGTATCATCAAGATTCCTAACATAGTGGTAATTAAGGTCATCTGGAATTTAGCAAAAAACACAAATGATATATTCTTTTAAAGTATTTTTCTTGTCTCCTTCTTACCCAACCATCGCCACCCCCACCTCCACCCATCGCCCCACTGGACCACGTTCACAATGTCATCGTGCTCATGAATCTCAGTAATTACGTTGGACAGAGTCATTTCTATTACAGATAGGAATGATGGTTAAAAATGACAAAAATATGAGTCTGTCTGTAATAAATCTGAATTCTCCTTTTTAAATACAGTGTAAATGTGAAATGAGCGGCTTCAATTTTCTGCTAAGATTATATTTCACCTCAGAGCCGAGCAGTGAATGGCTGGGATGAGATGACATGAGCTGATGAGGCTAATGGCAGAAAAAATAGTCTCTCTTTCACGTACAACCAATAGATTGGACTCGACTTTCTTTCTCTTTTAGTGTCTCACTTTTTCATCCCCTCTACCCACCCCCTCCTGCACACACAGATACTCCCCGCGCCGTCCAAGTGACAGAGTTGACACACTGAGTACAGCTCTACCAGCACTGATCCTTTGAGTCTATTCACTCTCCAGGGAGGAGGTCAATTCAATACTGTAACCCCAGGTACACGCATATAGACTCACTGCCCGTCACTTTTACACACACACACACACCTGTCTCTGTTTCTTCCATCAGTCAGAGCAGCCGTATGCTCACAGGTTGTGTCTGTGGACAGTCCAGGTAATCGTTGTAGCTTCTATGGTGAAGTGAGGCATTAAGCAAACTGAAAAATTTTCAGTCTCACTTAAGTCCGTAGAAACCTTCTGCCTGTTTTCTTTCAGCTCTTTACTTATTTGTCTTGTTATTCTACTCTCCAGTTTTAGTGGCTTCAAATCTGAATCTTATCCCCACATTATCATTCCATTCATCTATTGCACCAGGCATGCCCAAAATCAGCCGTAGAGGGCTGCTGTCCTGCAGATTTTAGAGGTTTCCTTGCTTCCGCACAGCTAATTCTGATGATTGCAGTTCAGCAAAGGGCTGTTAATCAGCTATCAATGTGTTATAAAGTAGCTTCACTCTCTCTCCACTTACCTTGCATCTGTCCTGCCTGACTGGTGAAGAGACTGGACGAGCAGCCGATCTCCGTCCCCAGGAGAGAACCATAATCCTGCTGAAACACTGCAGACAGAGGGGTGTGGGGAGGCATAAAAAAACATGAAATGATCAGAGTAAAGGAAAGAGTGGGTTCTCTACATGTCACCATACACTGATCCCTCCAACTCGGATATCGTCTTTCCTCACCCTCCGACCTCCACCCTCTCTAACACTTTATCATGTTTCCATATAAACTTGCACATTTTATCTCTGACTGTTTCTGGTTGTTCTCCTTTCGAGGTTGCCCTGTATTTAGCTTAACCCATCTGGGGTATGATGATCTTTACTAATAAAATTTTTTTCATAATGCTGCCACCTCCATGCTTTACTTTTGGGATTGAGTGTAAAGGTTCATGGTGATCTTTTGCTTTTCTACTATAGCTTTATTATTTCTGAACAAAGCAACGTGTTCCTTATTTTTAAATTGTCTACTAGGCTTGTTAACTCAAAAAGGGTATTTAGTCAGATTCCTCGACATTGGTTTATAATCAATGTGCTGACAGACTTTTCAACCTGAGCTTCAGATCTCTGCAGCTACTTTTTCTGATTACACAGACCCTGCCTTAGAAATATATTATAAAAGACCCTTTATATAATCTACTATTCCTGCTACGTGTAGTACTTATCTTTCTTTCTTGCAATCTCTTAATTTTCTATACTATGAAATTACAAAAGAATTAACTTTGCAGCTCTGAAGGAAATTCACAGTCCATTTTGGTCAAAGAGAGAATAGAAAGGTAAGCAAATAAAGTAGGTCTTGTGGAACAGGGGTTTGGGAAAATTCAAATAAGACTTCAGTTAAACAATTATACACATTTGTTGATACAAATTTGAGATGTACCAACCTAATAGGCTAGGGTTTGGAAATCTCCATGATTCATTGTACGTGGAATACTGTGGGTGGGAATAGGGACTCCCAGAAAAATCTCCTCCTGAAAGTAAAAATAAAACAGCATGTTAAGGAGCAGTTAAGAATAAAACAGCATATTTGTCCTTAAAGAAACAAACTTTCAGATGAAGCTGGTTCTGTAATTGGCAAACTGGAGCAAAATCACTTCAAATAAAGTCCATAAGCAGTCATGCTTGTTTTTTAGTGATTCTAAATAAAGTAGACATGTATGTTGGTCAGTCTCTTTGTTTTAACCTGTTAACACTTACATTCTGTCTTTCTGAACAAAGAATTATTTGCAATTCTAAAGAAAATTTAGGTTTATGTATATGTGGTCAATAAAGACAAGTTTGTGTAACTTTCTTTGTCTTAAAGAATACAGGAAAGTAAAACAACACAACTTTTTTTAAAAGCTCCTGCATTACAATTACAAATTAATTTATCTGTGGATTTTCTAACTGAATCTAATCTGATTTGTTTCTGTGAACAGTTACATACATTTACATATCTAAACGTATGTTACTGTATAATTTTGTATTAACTTTGCTAACTTAGGCAGGTGGTGCAGTGGTTAGCGAGGCCTTAGTCCTCGACGAGGTCGACCCGGTTTCGAATCCGGCCTGTGGTCCTTTGCTGCATGTCTTTGCCCCTCTGTCGAAAAAACTAGCTACTAGTGCTGTAAAAACTCAAAAAAAAAAAAAAAAAACATGGCTAACTTTGTTTACCCAATTAATCTTAGCTTAGTTTTCTTTATCCATCCGCTAAAGGCAGGGTACATCCTGGACAGGTCACAAGTAGCTTAAAGCCTCCTTTTTAAATATTTATTTGGTATTTGAAGCAACTTATGTCATCCTAAGCTTTCTTTATATTAACGCTGCTATAGTCTAATGCTGCTGGAAGACATACTAACCATGTTTTCTGTTTCTGATTCTTTCTCCTGATAGTCAAAATATGCATAATCATTTTAGGGGCTATTAACTTTGTGAGCGATCTGACTTTTTACTTCACGTTACTCATCGTAACCATCTACTAACTGTCTCTTCTCAGATCAGCTGAGCAGCTGTGCTGTTCTTGGCAATAATTTCATTGTCTTTCTCTGTAAATGATACACTTGGTCCTGTCTTTCGATTTTATCCCAGTGTCTCTCTTAGACAATGCAAATATAGGAGCTAATGCTGTCACTTAGTATATGTATCCTTTGCTTCATGCCATAGTCACTACTGCAGGGCGTGCCCCTGGGATAATCTGATCAGCTTTGTATCTATCACAATACCTACTTGTGCCTTTAACTCTGCTCTTTCAAGTAACCTTGACCAGTGTAACTCGTTTTCTATGTTTGATCTGGGTTTTAAAGCTCAAGATGTTCAAAGAAAATGACACTGAGTCAGTTTCTGCTGACTCTGCTTAGCTTAGATGGTTTTGGTTAAATAGGTCTTATCTAAGATTACATTTATTTAAAAATAATTATATTCTAGTTTATTGTAATGTAGAAAAGTTCAAACTATTTTGTTTAACTAAGTTTGGTTTTATTTAGCTTAGCTTACATTATTGTGACTCAGTTTGTTTAGTTACCGTAAGTTCTTTTTTTATTTAGGGTTATCACTTTAGTTGAAATATTTTTATCTCAACTATTCTAACTCACCTTTGTTTGGTTTAAATAATTTCTTTCATTAAGTCAATTAAGGTTTAGTTTCATATTATCTTGAGATAAGTTGTTCATGCACACAGCACATTAACCCCCGTTCTTGTTTCTAACATAAAGTCAACTAGTTGCATGTGTCTGAGTTGAAAAGCTCAGTCAGACTCTAGTGGTCTTCCACCCAGTGGATGATAGGCTAGCTTTTCTCCTTCATTTACTACTCACTGTCTGGGGTCTAGTCTTCGTCATGTCTTCTCCTCCCTCATCTCCCTCTACGTCCTCTTTATTTTTCTCTTGTCTTCTCTGGTTCGCCTGAGTACAGACCGCCCGTCATACTTCACATCAAAACAACATTCTCCTCTTTTTTTCTTCCCCCCTTTTCTCTGCTCCCTTACTCTCTTTTTTCAGTCTTTCGTACTTTCTTTCTTTTTGTCTTCCTGAACCATCCCTCCTCCCAGGGGATCCCTCTCCCATAGCTGACAGTCACGGACCCTGATGCCCCCTCCCTCCGTTCTACCTCCCTCTAACCCCCACCAACCCATTCCTCTTCCCTGCCTCTCGCTCTGTCGGTTCTGCTTCAGTGCTCTCCTACACCCCCTCCGAGTGTCAGCCCCCCTGCTGCAGAGAGAAGGAGACAGAGAGACGGAGTGGGAAAGGGAACAGCAGAAGAGAGTTGCTTGCTTAATGAAGGTATGATATTAGACAGAGCGAACAAGAAGGAGGATAATTTGGCCGAGGAGTGCTGAGATAAAGCAAAGCTGGCAAGTCAAAATTTCTAGATTATCTCGTTCAATACGTCTAGTCAGAGAGCTCAGAGAGCTTAAAAAATGTACTAAAGAAAAACTTCTACAGCGGTTTTCCTCTATGTTTTCCTTTTCTGAGTGTACATTTAGTTGCATCTGTCAGGTGGGGGTCTCGGTATGTGGTCTCCATGGCACCCCCGGGTGCGAACATCCTCTCCCTTGTCATCACCACAGTGACGAGATGTGTCAGGTTGTTTAGCAGACGCAAGACGGAGGGTAGAGAGGAGTAGGGGAGAAAGCACAGGGGTCTCCCTGGTGTAGCTCGGTGTCAAGGTCGCACACACAGACACTGTCAAAAACAAACACGCAAACAACAGCACGCACCAGCCCAAACACACACTCAAATATCCTGTCAAAGCCGAGGACAGCGCAGTGGGACGGGGCGACAGGGTTACCCATCTTTAGACGTGCTGTTCCTACATGTCCACTGAGACTCAGTGTGCAGATGTCAACCCATGGATATATGTGTGTGGGAATGACTGGGAATACATAGAGACAACAAGCACAAACAATGTTGTATTTTACCTATAAAAAAATATATATATATATATAAAAAAAATCTATTTATTTCTTCTTTTTTTTTTTTTTACTTTGTTTACTGCATGTTTCCGCAGGAGTGTTTCTAACATGACCGCCTCTGCTTGTGTGAGTGTTAAGAAAAAAGCCGAGGATGAACAACGCTCCCGGATTGAAACACAAAAGCTGCGTGGAAGGCGGAGTGGAAGGGAATGAATGAATTAGTCGTGGGTCACTGGTGATTCTCATTAAAAACAAATTACTAATGTTGAGGAGGGACAGCTGTGCTACTGTGGCTGCTTTCTAACGATACACAGAGAAACACACACACTACACACACACAGAGCCTTTAATGCACGGCCTACACAGGCGTATGAACACAAATGCCACCCTCTGGGACCACTGCATGATGTAGACAAAAAAACGGAAGAGGAAGTGGACGTTTTTTTTTACCATGCATGGTCTCCAAACAGACACCTACACAGTAGAAATTCAGTGTTGTGTATACAGTAGATCTACTGGCTACATCATGGTTTACTAAGATAAAAGCCTTACTTTAAAGGAAGTCAGGTGCAATACTTTAGCTTTCCTCTGTAAGCCAGTTATAATCTTTAACATGAATGGTTTCGAAGTTAAGCATGTGGGCGATGTTACACAAATATAACCAGAGCAGTATTAGAAAAGTATTGTAGAGATATACATTTTTTCAGATCTCGATCTCTCTTTGCTGTGCATTTTCTTCTAAAAGCTAACCATAGCAGGATTCACTTGCAGGCAAACTGAGATGCATCTTTACATGCAGACCAGTATTTGCTTTGGTTTCCGACATTCATCTCACCTCCCTAATGATGCAGACCACCCAAGGTAACAAAGTTTGGTCCTTTTTAAGAGGACTGTGCAGCTATGGTGTGAAAGTGTCATGAGTTTGAAAGATACACCTGTCTCTTAGACAGAATAGCAGTTTAAAGACATTTGATTATCCCCTGTTGGAAGTTAGTAAAATCCCCCAGATCAGATGTTTCTTCTTCTTCTTTAGATGGAGCTGTTGTTTTTTTTAGTTTTTTTCTAGGCATGTGAGCACAATTGCCAATCTGAGCATTTTGTGCAAGTTTTCCCAATAACACTCTTTTTTTCCTAAAACACTTTTGAAAAACATGCTTTGAGATAGCCTACATTGTTATTTATGATGACTTGTGTGCAAAGGTCAATACTCAGATCCATGCACAAACTCATACCAAGGGATATGAGTTTGTGCATGGGGACCTGTCCAAGATGTTCCCACCTCTTACTAGTCTTATTGACTAGTATAAGATATGAAATCAAGTCTGATGAGGCTGCAGAAATTAAAGATGTACTTTTATAGTGAAGCCTTAAGTTACGGTTTGACTTTTGGCAAGATTGCAGTCCTTTCATTAGTGAGTAGTTTTTGATCTGCTCAAGAAACAAACTGGTAATCTATTGGGCCATACTGCACATTCTCTCATCTTATTCCTCACATCTTACATTAAGGGGCTGATCGCCTTTCTCCTTAATTTAGTAATAAAGTTGAGGTTTTTATCTGGGAATAAATGGGCATCTTCCTTTTGCTACTGAATGGTCTCTCCCTTTCTTGCTGTGTAATATCTTTTGAATTTGTGCCTTCTGGGTACAATAAAACAAGAGCCTTAAGTCAATGTGCAGAAGAGGTAAGGTTGGTCTGTTTTTGTTTGTGTGTTTACATGTTTGCATCTTTACCCACCTGGTACCATGCCAGTGAGAGAGGGAGTAGAGTAGCTGCCCTGCCCAGTTGGGGGGACATGAGGAGGGTAGCCTGGCAGAGTTGTGCTGGCTAAATCTCGACCTGTAAAGACACAGAAAAGATTCCTCTTATCAATATAACCAGATTCCTCTTCTTGATGTTAACACAATCGCCAATGTATAGCAAGAGGATCTGTGAAATACTTCTACATTTATATATCTTACTTTTTCCTATTTTTTCTATCTTACTTATTTTGTATATAATAATTGCAATAATAATAATCACAATAACTGTTTACTTTTAGTTTTTTATAGTAGGGAAAATGAGGTCCCTGATATTTATTAGGAAGTTGTTCTTTCAGTAGCTCAGTCAAGATACGTCTCTTCCATTTGCCTCCTCCTTCCTTGTTTCTCCTCCTCTGACACCTATTAATTTAGCAACTCTCTATTCTATTGTTTCCTCCACCTCCTCCTCCTTCCGTCAGTAGGTGGATGGGCTATATAACTGCATTAGACTACATGACAGTCTGTCGCCCCAAATCATTTCTCTATGTTTGCGCGCTGTAGATATTGGGAGTGCGAGAAGAGGGCACCCTCCATTCATCATCATCACATACACACACACAGCAGTACCTTCCTCCCCCTGTCTGCACATACACATTTATCATCATCACAAACAGCTTGGATGCTAACACCATCAATCCCATTCCCTTCCACTTATCAGCACTAACTAAGTGAGAAGAAGCAAGTGGTGAAGGATGAAGGGAGAAGACAGATATAAGGAGGAAAAGCAGTAAAAGTTTTTACATAGAGGTAATGGTAAGAGAGAAGATTATTATGATTAATCATTTAAAGGAAAACAAATCTACTGTATTCACAGACTCAAAATGTATTGTTGTGGAATTTTGCTGTGATAGACCAACATAATATACAACTAATGTGAGCTGGAAGGAGAAATGATTCATGGTTTTCAAAACATTAAAAAAGGTGTAAAGTTTATGTAGTTTAGATTGAAGAAAAAAAACAATCCCAAAGGTTTGAACATTCCAGTGAGCATAGTTCAAGCCATCTAAACACATTAATCATGATAGTAGTCAAGAGGCTGAGAGTAACTCTGGAGGAGCTGCAGAGACCCATTGTTAAAATGGTCAAATCTGACTGTAGCACCTGAAAATGAGTTGGAAGAAAAAGCTGTTGAGGCTGCAATTGATTGAGCAAATTACAGGAGAATCCTGGAGGAAAAGACTGCAAAAGACTTTAGACTATGGCACGGTTTTACTTTTCAGTAGATTAGCAACCATAAACATACAGGCTAATACTACAGTGGGGCGTTTTTACATTAAAGTCATATTTTACATTCAAACTCACTTATATTGAGCTGTTTTTGCTAAGAAAGCATGGGCAACACTGGAGGATCCAAAGGAGCAAAGCTTCTACTAACAACCTCCATATGACCTGCAATTTAACTGCAGTGAAAAGTGAGTTAAAGTGGTGAATCAGCAGAGCTGAATACAAATGCACACCAAAGTCGGGGGTTTTATTTGTGAAAGAAGGGAAAAGGTTGTAGATCTCCTTCTTTTTCAGAATTAAGTTCTACTTTTTTCTTGGTCTGTTGCACATAAAATGACAAATAAATCCATGCTGTTTAGAATTCCTGTAAATCCAGCCAGAGTTAGTATAAGTGTTTTCCACAAAAAAAAGATGCACAACTTGGTTAGATATTGTGTCTGGGTTAATTTCTAAGCTTCTACTCATCCTCTTCATAATAAATGCCCATTCTTATTCCCTTGGAGCACAACAAAAAGAAGCTAATTGGTAAGGGCAACTTTTTTAGCTTTCCAAGTGTTTGTACTGATGATGTTTTGGAGAAAATACTGCCAATCAATCTAAAACCTGTGAGGGTATCTTCCTCATTACCTGTAAAACTCAAATAATTTTTTCTGTTCTGTGTCATATTGCCTGTGGTCCGATATCACAGTTTATTGTTTAATTAATTATCTCTTGATGAAAAGAGAAAAAAAGCACCTTTACTGGATAAAAAAAACATCTCCTCCGTCAAAATGAATGTCCACTTAGGTTTGCCACCTCCTCTCCTTTTACTGAGTGGGATTTTCCCTCTTATTTTCTCCCTTCTCTAACTTCCCTCTGTCCCTCCCTGCCTTCTCTCTCCTGTCTTGTGTAGTAAAGTTTTTCTTGGTGTTTGACGCGACAGCGAGGCATTAGCGCAGACGGGCTGCTCATCCGCTCAGGGTCAGTGCACAGGGCATGGAAGAGAGGGAGAAGAGGGTGGAAGCGGGGAGAGATGGACTCTCTACAGCCAAGTTAGAGGGGGCAGACAGGGCCAGATCCTTAGAGATGTGTGTTTCTGCGTGTGTGCGTGTTCTCATGCACTGCAGTTGTGCATATGTTTGGTCGTTGTATTGATGTATCTGCTCTCCACAGCTTTGCTTTAGAGGTCAACAAACAAGTACAAGTCTCCTCCGTGCTCACTTGCAACTTCACATGAGCACACATTTTCTGTCCTTCTGGTCTGACTGTCTCGTTCACCGTCAGAACAAGCCATGTCAAACCCGGAGGGATCAACGGTATGCGATGTGTCCTTATGCATCTTCCCACTGTTGTGTACTGGTGGAATTTCAGGGTAAAGAAAAGTGCTGTATTGGTTTGTGAGAAAGTACTGCGCATGTTTATGATGCAATAAAGTATGTGGTTAGAGTATCAACATTTCAAGGATCCCAAAAAAACATATAAAAACACTGCGTCAAACACGAAGACGTCTGATCCCCTAGAGGGAGCTCTGTTCTGAGAGAAAAGACGGCCGTGGAAATGCATGCATAATATGCAGAAGGTGTGTGCGCATGTGAATATGAATGTGTGTTTGCATGCATAAGCAGAAATGGAAATTTTCTTCTCTCTCTCTTTCTTTCTCCCACTCTGTCTCTTACCCCGCTCTGGTGGTTACAGGTAATATCCCTCTGCGATTTGAGAGAGAGTAAAAAAAAAAATCAAGAACCTATTCCCAGATATCCCAAATTCCCAGATCAATGATTCCCTTCATTACAGATGGGAATGTTAAAGGCTTGTCCAAGTGCTCCCTGTCTGCTGTTAATTAATCGCACCTCTCCCTGCGCCCCTGAATGTAGAAAGAGCAGGGAGTGAGGTATTCACTTTTCCTCCAGACTTCCACCTTTCCTTAAATCCCTCTCCTCCACTTAATTGACATTCAAAGCACTGAGCTCCTTAAGCAGTGCTTTGAGCACTAAGATTATGCCGTTTAAACTACTGCTTAGAAGAAAGGCATTGGCCTCAGTGTGTTTGTGTTTATTGTTATGCCTGTCCATTCAGATATCTTAAATTCAAATGATTTTATATGCCATAAATTAGAGAAGTAGGCAGCCAGAGGTTGTTAAAACACTGTTATCCCTTAAAAGAAGCTGCTTATTTCACATGCAGTAGAAAGGGACCAGAATGACAAAATCAGGGTGACGAAATAAACATTATTAATGAACAAATATCAACTAAATAAAGAAAAATATACTTTAGGTTGCCCAGCAGTTTCTCTTATACACAGTCCCTTACAGCCTGTTTTTCTAGGAGGAATTTCAGGCATAAATCTCACACTTTAAAAAAAAAACATAAAACTCCTGAGGCATACTGGAAAACAAATCATGAGAATATGTGCAAAAGGTTTCATGTATAATATCAAGAACATGCAAAATAAAGCTTCTATCCATTTATATAAAAATTACAAGGATTGGATCTAACATCTGTTGGATCTATTGCCATAAGAAAGGAAGAGCTTTTGGTAAGTGGTCAATTCGATTTCTCATTGAGGCTCATTGGCTGTATATGTGAAGTAGTCAAACCTGGAAAAATGTACTTCAGGCTTACATAAAAAAAAAAAAAAAAAATTAAAAATCTGGAAAAAGACTGATTTGATTGCTGATATCCAGAGACGCTGGTCGTTAAAGATCATTGAAGCCAGTTAAAAATTGTTGTTTTTTTACCTGGAACAAGAGGGTAAGACTGTGGTCCGGATACGTTGGATCCTAGTTCTGTCCCTGTGCCAGGATTGGCCAAACTGTTCTTCATCTCGTCCAACCCGCCTGCTAAAGAAGCCATTGCTGAGTAGTCCGATGTCTGGAAAGAGTCAAGAGGAAAGGGAAAATAAAAATGGATTTATTAGACAACAAATCCAAACCATTATATTCTGTGTAGGTAACAACATCAAGGCACAATTGCGGCCTGTGCGTTGTACAGCTTTGAGCGTTCTGTTTATTATGACAACAGTATGTCCTACAGGTTACACTTTCCTCACAGCGATGGGTAAAGCAGCTTTTCCTATGAGCATGCACACACACACACTGATGTACAGAAACCCACCTACAGCTGAGACTTTATTGATCTGTTTACAAAGGCAGGGATTTACTGTACAACCAAGTCCAACAGTCTATAACCGCGGGATCAGCTTGCTCTTTCTCTTCATCCGCCTCATCCCGGCGCTCACACGGTACATACACAACAAACATATATTTACACACATACACAGACTGTGGCTATAAGACAAAGCCTCTTGTGTCCCCAGATAACGATATAAGAATGGTGATTATCTCAATACGCACAAACACACACACTCATATCCAATGTCGTGAACCTTATAGGAAGCTACAAAACCACACACAGAGGACGAGGTTAGTGAGGAAACAATATGGGCTCGATGTCTAGTTCTAGTCAATCTATTTCTTGTGAAAAACTCAATTGTATTCAGGAACAGGTTTGAAGGATGTTTTTCTTTCATTGTAGATATCAATTAATACTATTATTAATAAGTTCTTTCTTTAAAAGAGCTGTTCAAATCAGCTCCAAAGCATGCCTAAAGAACAATGTTAACGTGCCCAAATTTGTTAGGCATTGTTTAAATACATATAGGCAAAAAGTATAATTCTGGTCTAATTTGAAAGTATAACTTACTTCCAGGAGTGGAATCTAAATAAAATTGGGACTTTGTATTGCTCTCTTCTTACCAAACTTTTGTAAAGACCGAATTTATAGAGTTGAAGATTAATAACTTTTCCTGTCCAAGATTTTTCTATCTGATCTGTGAATATCTTAAACTCCTGTAGCGCCATTAGAGATCATTTGGCACAGGTTGACTTTATTCACTGAGAAATTCTGAAGTTGATTAATGTCACTGAATTCAAGGTTGAATTCTAGGTTTGCCGGTTTTCTCATTACCGTTGATCTGGTCCACCTGCTCCAGCTTCTACTTAACCAGCCTTCTACCAGTAATCAGTGCCAGATACCTCGAGCCAGTGGTGAGGGTGATTCAGCGTTACCTTGGTGCTTCAGATGAACTGATCCTGACCTGTTCTGCCTCTCAACCACTGAGCCTGCCCTCCTGTCTGATCTGCTTGTCTATGGGCTCCTGCTGGATTCTGTCTGTTTACTGAACTTGGAACTGAACCTGAATTTACCTTCGGAAACTCTTAGGACCTCTGATCTGCTGATTCAGCCTTATATGTCCTTGCTGTAACTGCAGATCCGCCGTTTTTGAATTAACGTTTTGAATTATCCGACTGTCTGTCTGCCTTGAATACTTGATCCCCTGTTCTGAGCCCTGACAATATTGTAGGGTACAGATTTTATTTAAATAAGATTTTGAATCTACGTGATACTATTCTTCCAGTTGATTTCACATGCTACATTATATTGGTCTATCACAATGTAAATGAAATTACTTTGTGTTTAAAGTCACAAATTTAACAAAAATATTTCAAAGGAAATAGGAATAAACATTTTAGTAAAAATTTGATGTCACCTCTTAATGAGGGGAACATTCTTAGTAAAAGATGGAAACAAACAAATAGTTATTTTTCTAGAGAAAGTTAGATGCAGCCAGCAAGCATAACTCACACCCCAGGCCAGTCTCTGTGGAAAAAATAAAAACTGTTCCCTCACCTGTGTTTGACCCTGGCTTTAAGCAATCACCCATCCATCCTCGTGTCTCTGAAAGATCTCTTATTGTGTGTGACTATCTGTGGGTGGTTCTAGTAATTCAGAGAGATGATGCCTGTTCTGATGGCCAAGAATATATAGATTAAACACCTAAGACTGTCTGGGCAGGAATGTCTATGGCAGGCCAATGACCTGTCTTCACTTGAGTCCCTTTTGTTTTAGAAATGTCACTTTTCTGTAAGAGGTGAAGACTGGTCCACATTTATTGATTGTGTGAACAGTGAAAATTTGGGTTAAGGACATTATCTCACCCTTTATCTTATTTGGGAAATCATCAATATAGACCTGAGCAAAGGTGTGATGAAAAATGGGCCAGCTCTTCCAGAAACATAGTCGGTAGAGTGAAGGGACAGAAATGGACCAAAATTATTCTCAAAGAATATTTATTTTTATAAAATGAGAATAAATTATAACTTAACTTTTTAAGTCATAATAAACATTTAGCTGTTTCCTTCTTTCACAAATCCACAAATGAGTTCAATATGTTGCTGTACTGCATTCAAGAAGAGGAAAAATAACAGCTTCAATCAGTGCCTCTGTTTGGAAGCCCCTCTATCAATTTAATATGCAGAAAATATACAGCTACTGTGAGCTGAGGAACATACTTTAAGCCTCAGCTGCAGCCTACCTTCTACATATTTGGGCTCCAATCCCATTTAACCAGCAGACTGCAGCGAGAAACCTCTCATCTCTGTTGTCTGCTTTAATAGTGTTAAAGAGCTCATCAATTTCTATCATAGATTTGTTTTTGTATTTTTATTTGCAGAAATTATAATTACATTAAGGCAGAGGCTGGTAGCTGTTAAAGGCTTCATCTTACAAGAGCAATCAGTATTTTTCTTAAAGTGATAAAAGGAGGGTTTCGCACTGACCCTTTTAATATGTCTGCATCCGTGTGTAAGCGTAGGTGATGGTTTGTGCTCACTGACCTCTTCAACACCCCTGTGATCGTCAACACAACACAACCACTGGACTGTGACCTGCTAAATAAGAGCTTACTCTGTACACTTACACACCTCTCTTTCTGGAGCTTTTTAGACTTCTGACATTAAAGACTCCTTATTTACCTCTTTCAGACAGAGATCCTGCAGTTGTTTTTCTTTTCTAAACCATTTAAACATGCCATCCCTGCATACCCCCCACACACCAGCACCACAACCAAAGCTTGAATAGCCTGTCTTATGATAATAGCATCTAATGTGTCCGTGTATCCATGTGTAGAGCCAGGCAGCAGCACCAGCCGGGAAGAAAAGGTCTGCAGTGGTAATTGGTCATGATGAAGTTTGGCCAGTCGGGTGACAGGCCCGCTAAGCAAGATGGATCATTCTCATTCGCACCCGTAAATGTTGTCAATTCCACCGCTCATACAGCGCCATCAGCTCTCATCAAAGGAAAAGGGACGCAGCTGCGGGGGCTGAGGAGGGGGCTGATCTGGTTGGGGGGGTTCTGGGATAGGTAATGCCGTAGGGGAGCTGCACAACTGCGCAAGATGGAGGGGAAGATGGTAGAAATATTTGGACCTCGTACAAACAGTTAAAGGTAATCACATATGATAAGTCTGGGGGAATCTATATTTAAGAAGGTCCCTTTATTCTACATTATCAAAATCCTATTAATTGTCATGGTCTGTTGGACAAAAAGCTACCACTGTTTAAAGCCAACAAAAAAGCCCAGAAAATGTAACTAATTTTGTTGAAGATTAAAACCTAACTTCACATAACATGAATAGATTTATACATAGCTTCTGATGCACCAAACATTACATTAACCTTAAGATAAAAGTTAAAATTCAACATGTTCTGCAAAGCAGGGGGGCAACTGGGTATGTTACTCTTCGTAAAGCCTCTGTTCAATTGTTCTTTTATATAAATGTGATCAACGCACTATTAGCATCCAAAGTGTTTAAATATTTTATTAGCTGAATCAAATTAAGTCCACAAAGAGCTTTCACATAGTTCAACATGAAATTAATTAAAATTTTTGGAGGGATCACAATATTTTACATCCACAAAAAAAATCTACTGCTGATTTCGGACCAAGTAATAAATCTTCTTATCTGTCGGGTACATAGAAGTATAAAATTATGTATGAAAAAATGCATTCAATTTCAATAGGATATTGATAAACTGGATGGTTCAGACATTTCATAGCCCATTGATGACACTGTTAATGTTTTTTTTAATAAATTATACATTCATGTAATTTCTAATTGATTATTTTCTGATTCTGTTAGCAAAGATATCTGAAAAATATTGTTTTCATTTGGTATAGATTTATTTTTTATGGATTATTCAATTAAACAGTTATCTGACTAGGAAAAATAACTTGATCCTTTCAGACTGATACCAGAATTGTTATGGTTCTCCACTTTCGGGACTTTGAGTTTTTTTTACTTTTCACTATCTAAGTAATTCTTTTTTGTTGATCTTTGTTTTTTTTTTTTCCATTTTGTGTTGTATTTAAGCCAGTCTTTAGTTACTCTCTGTTGCCCCCTTGTGCCTGTCTCCTTTCCTCTAGCTCCCTTCTAGTCACTTCCATCCACACCTGCTCCATATCAGTTGATTACCCCAGTCTTTGTTCTGTCTCCCATATATACTCTCCCTGTGCAGCCTTCAGTGCTGGTTCCTTGTTGTTGTTCGTAGCTTCCTCGTCTCTGGCTCCCCACGTGAGTTTTCCCAGATGCTTGCTGGTTTTTTGGTTCTGAGTATTTTTGTGTTTTGGATGTTTGCCTTAGTTTTTCATTAAACTAACAAGAACTGATCTCTGCCTCGCTCATCTCTGCATTTGCGTCCTCAAGCAACCTCGCTCTCCTCATCGACAAACATGGGTAATAATATAAAATAATTCATTTCAGACTGTTAATATTTTTTGAAACCTGGAAATTAGTTATGCATCCTTATAAACTAATACAAAGGTAGTACCTCCTTTTAAAACGTTGTTTTGATGGGCCTCTTTAATGACACACCCAAATTATGGTTTAATGGGACAAAAAATGACTGTATTTATGTTCTAACTTAAGCGTCACATTAAAGTTTGATTTGATCAAATGAAAGCTTATCGGCAAAGCTTCCCTAAGGACTATAACCAATAAGTAAATAAATTATACATATACAATAGACAAATCT